CATAGAATTTATTTAGTCTTTTTCTAGTCGCTAACTATTTTAGAGGTCGAGGTGATATTTAGTTTTTGCAATGATACTAATTGTTTAAACAATTTGTAAGAAAAATCGTACGATGCGATAATTGAAAATGTAAGTTTATATATAATTATCAACAAATAATTGTACTATCTTTTAATTTTTCTTAAGTCTTATCTATCATTGGAGTTGTTGACGTTTGGTCTGGTATGTCATGGTTTTCATTGAGTCTATCAAACCGGATCATATTTCTCAAAAATTCTTTGTTATCGTCAAGTTCAAATATTTGGAGAATTATTCACTTTAAATAGATAAAGATAAAATGCTATTACTACGTCATAAGTAATTAATACAAACACTTGACATAATAGTAATCTAATACATGACATCAACTAAATACATATAAACTATGTAATTCGAACTGGTCAATTTTTTTTATTTACATTTGTGAATTACAATCTGTCGTTATAAACGGTCGAAAAAAGCGATTAAAAAATGTCGTTAAAAAAGGAAAAAAAGTCGAAAGGTCACCCAGTTGTGATCCGATTCGATGTTGGTTATAAATGTAGTCCTGATGTGAAAAAATTAAATAAAGCCTACAAGTAATTGTACATATTATAGGATTACTAAAGGATATCAAAAAGGAGCCGTTTTCTTCTAAACCGTTCGATGCCATGGTTTTTTACTAAATTTTTGGCCATGATGTTTGGGTGGTTCTGTATTCTATGAATTTTTCAATTTCTTCCTTAACTGTGTTTATGTTCGAATCTGTATGAACCGACCAATTTGGGACATACTTGGGTGCGTTTATAATTTTCTTCAAATTTTTGTTTTGAAATCTTTGAATTTGGCGATGTTGGTTTTGCGCGCCGTTCCCCAAAGCTGTATTCCGTACGTCCAAATTGGTTTTAACATGACTTTGTACAGAATAAGTTTATTCTATGTACTCAACTGAGATTTTCGGTTTAACAAAAACTAGTCAATTTGTATCAGTTATTTTAGGCTCATCAAGTTATCTACTTTTTGTAGATGACTTTGTGCAGCAGACATTTTTTTGCTAAAATGGATTCATTCAGTTTCCTTTTCTCCTCATAATATTTTTCATATGTAAAAGGATTTGCAATAATTTTAGTAAATAAAATAAATTAAGGCTGTATTCATGGTAGGTGAAAACAGAACAAATGTGCTTTACCCTGTTTTAGTGTTTTCCGCACTCAACAGAGGGCTTACCGTGCTTTTTTTTAAAAAAAAACATTATAATATAATTCATTTCTTTTTTAAAGAACTGATTTTCTTACCATAATAAACGTATTTTATTAACTTCCCGAAGGAGAAGTTTGTTTTCATAAAAAAATCTGATTCGCTAATTTTATGTTTTCTCGACGTTTCAAGCCATTCTGAATCGAATGAGACCAGCATTTGAAAAAAGTATGGGTGTGTGTGCGTGTGTGTGAACAGATTTTTTAATATTTTTTCATTACATATTTTAGTGAAAATATATTTGTGATTTAGTTGAAAATATATTTTATAAGCGTATATTTTGTTCTCGTTTTATTTATTCAAATTAATTATGTTTATCATTTATATATTATATATTTATCCAGAATTAAACCTGGAGGTAAATTTACATGCTACAGTTGGTGGCGCCTCTATCGAGTCGGGAAACAATTAAAATTGAAGTATTGGCAAAATAGGGGTGTTTGTGAACTATTTATACTTCTTTTATCTATCCTAGAAAAGAAATCGTAATTTTTGTTTTTTTGATAGTTTAATGTTTAACTGTTCAAGAAAATGTGTACAAAAGGGTTTTCCAAAATTTGAATTATTTTCGTAGATTTAGTTGTTTGACCACGACAATCTTGTAAATGCTTTTTTTCTCAAAACGATCTTCTTCGATACCCACGATTTCTCGACTTCTACCGGACCTATTTACTTGAAATTTTACAGAGTCTTCTTCATAGACTTTTTTTCAGTGTAAACTACGCTCATCCTCAAATTCCGACTTTAACTATTTTTTAAAAATAAATAAGAATATTAAAAAAGTATTGAATTTTTTTATTTTCAGTTTTAGTTCATACAATTGCGACATTATTCTAGATTAATAATCCTTTTAGGTCACGTGACCATTTTTGAGATCTCCTCTTAATCCCCAGTCTAGTAATAAAACTTTTGGACTGTTTTTAATTTTTTTTTTATTTTTAAAATATCACAAACATTGTTAGTAATAATCTTCCTAGCCTTTTTACAGCCTTTTAAAAATTACATAAACATATCATACTAATAGACCCCCAAAAACATAAGAAATCAAGCATTGATACAGAACTTTAGGTAGAATCCGGTTTAATTTTTCTTGCATAATATTTAAACAATTACATTGACCTTAAATAACGAAAAGAATGAAATAGATCAATACAATATATTTATTATGCGTCTCTGGCGGTTCGTTCACACTTGAAAAACAATATGTGACATTCTCTTTTGTCAGTCTAGAAGAAGTTAGTTCATTATACTTTATTTAAAATGTTGAATTTTAATTTTTTTAATTCTAAAGTTATTTTTTGTGTGCGAAATATGTATAGTGAAAATAAATCTAAAGTTTTGTGAGCTAATTAATAGACTACTACTCTTGGGATTATATTTATTGGTATATGATTGGATTCAGTAAAATGTATTATCAAATATCTAATTGTAAGAGAGACAAAACGTATATTTAAAATACATTTTCGACATTAGTATTATTTTAAAAGAGCTCTTCATGACAAATGTTTGCAATACGATTTTGTTTTTCACATTTAATAAATTTTTCAATGTTGATACTATAAAGACAAATAATAAAATTAATGAAATTTGTAAGAAAATTATAGGTACTTAAATACATAAGCCTAATACCTAATACATAAATATAATCAAAATATGTTCTAATAATTTTGGTTTTAAAGAGCTTTTCAGGGAGAACGTTCTGCAACAGAACTTTGATATTTTTTTATGTGCCTTTTATAATCACAAGTACTAAAATTGATAAGTTTTGTAAAAAAAATTGAGTAATTAATTACTTATAAGACGAAACATATAATTAAAAATCATTTTGAACATTAGTACTCTTTTTAAATAGCTTTTCAGGACTAACGGTTTGTAATACAGTAATGTAATTTAAATTAAATATAATTTAATATGTCCACTATAAAGACTAATACTAAAATTGATAAGTTGTCTAACTGATAATAAATTGAGTATCTAAATCGGTACGTTATATGTATTTTAATAGAAAGATTTGTGTTTGGAAAGCTTTTTAGGACAAACAGTTTGCAACATCATTTTGTTATTCGAATAAAATATTATTAAATGTGGTTACTATTTATAACAAATAATAAAATTAATAAGTTTTCTAAGAAAATAGACTTTTTTATTTTGCCTGCATTTCTAGGAGTAAAAAAGTAGTTTCCATATACTTTATATAGGACATGTATTATTTTAAAAATCTTTATATTCTAGCGGCTAAACCGATTTTATGAAATTTTTATATTCACAATCATTAGGGACCAACCCTAAACTTTTATTTTCCTTTTACAAACTGTATTTTGCAGTAATCATTTTAGTAATAACTTTTCTTTCTTTTTGTGAACTGATCAATTTATTTAAATATTCTTGTGCTAAAATTTTTGTGCAAAAATTCATATTTTTATTATAATATTAAGGTAGTTTATTCCTGTTATACTTATATTAGAGTTACCAGTGACATCATTTTTTTAATTTACACCTTTTTTTTACTATGTACTATTATGACTAATTTTTCAGCATGGCTATTTTCGTTGTAACATTATCTATCATTTTTTCATTAGTTATAATTTAAGTTTTTATTAACTTCCCGTAGGGCAAATTAAAAATCTAAAATGAAAATTTTTATATATCTTTACGTTTCAGAGGTTTCTGAATATTTTGGCATACCTTAGAAAAAATAGATGTATGTGTGTGCATGTGTATGTGTGTACATGTGTTTGAATACAAATTTTCGTCGACGATTTCGGGAACACGGATGAAGCGATTTGAATATTTCAAAAAACATTCGATTCGTATTGATAAGGAGACGCGCTGATTAGTTTTTGGCGAAGGCAGGTCTAGCCGTTCCGAAGATATGGGGCAAAAGTGCCAAAAACAGTAACTCAGTTTTTAAGAGAATAATTCAAAAATCATTCTACTTGTATTACCAAGATGAAGAACTGATCAAATTGTCATAAAGGTAGGTCTAGCGGTTTCGGAGAACTAGAAAAAAAACTAAATGACAAAAAAATGTCATCTGGCGGTCAAAAATGATCATTAGACATATGCACATCAAATTATCAAATATTTTATTGAGATTTTAACAATAAGTATAAATTTTGTTTACATTCCTATGGGTTCCGTACCAGTGTTTATCCGTTAGACGGCGGCGCTTCGTTATTTCGTCTCTATGCAGTTAAAGCAGTACGATTGCTTTGAAAATTGATGAAATTAACTTCTTCTTCGGGAAGTTAAAAAGTTCAGAATTTTCAAATTATTTCAAAATACACTTTTCTTCAAAGAGTCTTTTTTTCAAAATAAAGTAAATTTTCCTCAAAAATTTATAGTTTCTCAAAAATCTAATTTTTCAGAGTAAATTTTTTTCAAAAATGTTTAACAAAAAAAGATTTTTGGTACGGGAAGTTCCAGCAATTTGCCTTAAGGCACGATGCCATGCGCCCCACTAGTTTATTTCTTTGGTTTGTGCTTAATTTAGCTTTAACATATAGAGTCCTGCTAATTGATCAAATTATATAATTTTGAAAAAAAAATCTATATATAGTAAGTATTTATAATTTTAGATTTTGATTCTACTTTGGCGAAGGTAATCTTAATCTTATTCGCTAAAGGCAACGTATAATAATACTTAAGCAAATAAATTTGGTACATAGTGAACATTAGAGGACTTATCACAGCAAAATATTTAATTAGCAAATAAAGTGATAATATTATTCTATGCAATGCATTGTGCTAGACTCTTTCGCAAACATAATATCAGTGACCCTCATGCTGCCGTTTGCAAATAAATCCGAAGGCTGCTCATCTATACATATACGAGTACATCTTAAATCTATTACAATTATTGTATTATATATCTGATTATTATATCATAATGTCTCCAATGAGACACATATTTGACATACTTTTCTTCGGTCATCAACAAAAAATATGCAAATCGAATTCGTTGTCGTCCGATTAACGAATTCAAATTGATTTCCTGGTGTTTTTTTAATCGTCGACCGGTCAGACGCATTACGTAAATTCCGCGCCAAGGCTTTACGGTCGCGAAATTAGAATTCGATCAGCTGATTTTGAAAATATAATAAAAATAATAAAAATCGTAATACTATGAAATAGTTATAATAGTATGTGGTAGAGGCTCGTTGGTACTACTATGCTTAATAGGATTATCACATAATATGCCTATCACATAAATCTAATGTTTCCAAGAGAGTAACTTCTCATGGTAGTAGAGCAAGTAAATAGAGAATGGTTGTTCTGCAATTGGACTGTGCCAATTCTGATCTATCAAAATTTCAATAGAGTTTAGGTTATCGGTTTCTTAATTCCGGATTTTGTTGTCCAATTGTAACGTTGCAACTGCATCCGATGCATAATTAATCACTGCCAAAATCTATATGAGAAGAAACAAGAGATAAACAAAAGATATTGCTTTGATCTCAAATTCAAAAAAAAAAATCTTGGACAAATTAAAAAATCTATCACTGCTAACACTAAGTATAATATGACACAACTGTTTTGATATTTAATAATATAATATATAATATTTAATGAAATATGTATTGTTTCACTAAAAATAAGCTTTTTATAAGCTCACTCAGGAAAATTTAAGTAAAATGGAAATTATTTCCAAAAAGAACTATAATTGATTTGTTACCAAAATATATTAAAGAACTGTGTTAATGGTATAATGATGAAAATTTAAGGTAATTTTATGTGTTTTTAAATTCTGCATTATAGAAGGATAGAATGGCCAAAAAACATGTCCACTCCACTTAAAATATAAAATTTAATCAAAATCGATTTCGAAAAAACTTGTTTAAGCATAGTTTTGTTTTAAATAATACATGTTTGCTTTATTAAGGGCACAACTAGTGTGAAATTTTCAAAAAATCGAATTTTCATTTTTTCCATATTTCGATAGGTTATGCTTTTAAAAAACATACCAGAATTTTTAAATCGATATCTTAAATAGTTTTTGAGTCACAGCCATTTAAACAGTATATACATAGAATATAATATAACGATCATTTTATCTTTAAACGCGTTTTTCTCGAACAGCATTTTCCGAATTCCGAATTTGCTGCAGCGATTACTCAAAAACAAATGATCCGATCACTATCAATTTTTTTTTACTTGTTTTATATATAGTTCTCCGTAAAATGAACTATCGATTTTTTGATCGGATCAAAAATCCAATTTTGGCAGTCCAAAACGATCAAAATTTTAG